CTCCGGCGGGCGGGCGTGCTGGGTGAAGACTGCGCTACCATTGCTCGTAAAAGTCAAGGAATTGGGGTTTTGTAAGCTCATGCACTTGGTGACGGCGGAGAGGCAGAGACTGTTTAAGGTGGGAGTCTTGGTCACTTGAATTCGTAAGTGAGGAACTTGAATTCAGAGTTCCTCTGCGGGAGAAGCGCCTCTCCGTGGAAGCACAGCCTGCCTCGCCCCGAGCGGGGATTGACCGACCCCCTGAACAGACTGGGGCTTCAGTCCGGTCCTGCTGAGTGCTCCCAGCATCCTGGCAAGAGAAATCCTAGAAACCTGAGGCCCAGTAAAGTATCGAAGTAAAAGGATCAAAGGAGTTGGTTTGGCTCTGGTGATCAATAGGAAAATTGAACAATATGCTCCGTCTTGAGTTGAGTTTGGAGCTGACTCCTCATACCTCAGCCAGGAAGGTTCTCTGACATGTTGAGCTCATGTTAAAGCTTTGAGATTTCTCTACTCTTTGAATCCTGGGCTGCACCAGAAGCAGCGTGGGGAGAAGGTCAAGGGAGGTGCTTCTGCCTCTGTATTCCACTCTGGTGTGACCTCACCTGCAGTGCTGCATCCAGCTCTGGGGTCCCCAGCATAAAAAGGATATTAAACTGTTGGAGCGAGTCCAGAGAAGGCCACAAGGTTGGTAAGAGGAGTGAAGCACTTCCTCTATGAAGCAAGCTGAGAACATTGGGACTGTTCAGCCTGGAGAAGAGAAGCTTGTTGTGGAGACCTCACTGCAACCTTCCAGTATCTGAGCAGGACCAGTGCTAGGACAAGGAGTAATGGGTACAAGCTGAAAGAGGGGAAATTTAGGCTAAACTGTAGGAAGAAATTCTTCACTCTGAGGGTGGTGGAGCTCTGAAATGGGTTGGAATACTGCAAAGGCCCAGATGAGCTGTGTCCTTGGCAGTGTTCCAGGCTGGAATGGATAATGCCTTGAGCAAATTGATCTAGTGGAAGGTGGCCACGGCAGGGGGGTTGGGACCAGGTAATCTTCAAGATCCCTTCCAAGCCTTCACATTGGCTTGAGATCATTAAACCATACATTCTTTGGGGTGCTGCTCGGTCACAAGTGAGGGCACTGTGGCTCCACAGGGTGCACGGCCTCTGTGACAGCCCTGGACAGGCATGCAGGTGCAGACTGGTTCAGCAGCCTCATTACTTTCCGTGGTGTGGCTCCATGTTATTTGCTTGTGTGAGCAGCTGCAAAGCAGTAAACATTGCAATGACTGCTTAGAAATTCTTCCCAGTGAGGCAAAATTATGTGAAACGCAGCTACAAGACATGGTTGAGGGAGTGTTCTGGTAAGATTAAAGCTGTCGAAAAGATGGTTGTATTTAGCTTAGAATATGTGTTTCCCCCTTGCATTTTGGAAATGGAAAGAGCTCTGCTGTCTCATAAATATGTCCCTTCCAGCCAGTCTGAGAATCTCCATCTAGTTCAGCTATGAAGTAGTGTCCCGGTAGAATTTCTTGGTCAGGTTGTTTTTTTCTCATCAAAGCTAGACTTTTCAACATGTTTATTCTTGAGTAGCTGCATTTTTCATATACATCTACAGTGTTCTTCTCTTCCCTAAACAGCAAACTACCTGAGACTATAGGACTTTTGGTTGTTTTTCCATATGGTGGCCCTGAAGATTCCTCCCTTCCCCAAATAATTGCACAGTTTCCTGACTTTATTTGACTTCTACAGTATGCTGAGCAGAATTCATAAGGATTATTTTAGATCCAGCCCATTCAGGCTTGTGCTGGTTTAGGGTTTTGTCACTTTGGTTTTCATGCTGTTGAACCACAAAACACCTTGGAGTCTTCTGCCACTGTAATATGCTGAAGGTTTATCACCCTCAAGGTTCTTTTGTTTATTCTGCAGATTTTCTTACTATATAGTATGTTTAGATCTGCACCATAGACTCGGTGACGTGCTTTCCCAAGATGCCTCATTTTTTATGAAAATATATTTACTTTTTCATGCTACTCTATACCCCTGACCCTGCAGCATTCCCAAATCTCATTTGGGTTTGTGTCATTGGGAAGCTCTGCTACTGTTCCTGTAGATCTCCAACAGTGATATAGTTATTGCTGACCCTGCTGCCTCATTGCCTCATTCCTTAGTGTGGCACTGTTTACTACAAAAGCCTGCTCAAGTCACCTGAGGCAGGGTCAGCACTGAGGCTTCCAGTGCAGCCACTTCCTCGGTTTGCACAGTGGGTGTGGTGCCACAGCAGTGCTGTTTTCTAGTGCAGAGGGCTTGATCTCAGCATGGGCTGGGGAGGGAGGAATGCTCTGAGATTACACCTTGGCATCAAGGGGATGGTTTCTGACACCTCAGCCCTTTCTGTGCCCTGATCTTTGGGCTGAGGGTCTTGGTGTGTAGAGTGGAATTCCTCAGTCTATGACACCGTTGGAGACAGAAACCCCCCTGTATTTTAAAGGTGCCTTTGTGGAAGGAGGGGCAGGGCTTGTTTCAGATGAGAGCTTGGATTCTTCCAGTCTGCATAAATCACCCCTCTCTGTTCAAAGTCAAAATGGCAGGGGCTGCAGCAGGACTTCAGGATACTGCTCAGATTCTGCTGTGCTGTTCCCTGCCCTGTGTGATGAGGGTATGTGTCAGAGCTGTCACCAAGTTGGTCTCTCCAATCTGTCTGATTTCTTCCTGCAGTGTCCTCAAACAGTGCAAAGATGTGGAGCTCTCCTTCAGTGACGTGACAGGCAAGCCTGAAATCTTCAAAGGCACCAAAAAAGGAATGCTGTATCTCACCCCCTACAGGGTAAGTCTGATGCCAGCAGGGTTGCTTCTTTCTCAAGGGATTTTGTAAACTTTAAACCAGAAATCTAGTTGATAGAAGAAGGGATTTTTGTTGTGGAAGGGACCACTGACAGCACTAGGTAGGAGAAGGAAAGGTGGAAATGGGATAGTCCATACCTATGCCACAATCCCAATCACCTACAAAGGCACATGCAGTCCTGGAAATCACTGTCTAGAGAATATATTTCATATAATGTGTCAGTCAATGATACTTCCTTTGCAGACTCTCATAGATTATCCTTAAAAAGCAGAGCAATAAAACTCAGTAAATGTGCAGGTGTGTTTGAAGTGGTTTATTATTTTGGATTGTATGTGCCTCAGGTCAGTGAGCCGTGTGCCATCAAATCTGTTGGGGATCCCCAGTGTTAAAGCTGTGAAATAATTCAGTGCATACTCATGCTAGAGGTGAAGTCACCCTCTTTTTGGAATGCTGATACAGTGAGAGCTCCATCATCACACTCTCTGTGGCACTCAAGTAATTCAGAAGCATTCCCTGCTCTCTTGCAGATGATCTTTGTGACCAAGGGCAAGGATCCCATGCTGTCCTTCATGATGCCGTTCTATTTGGTGAAAGGATGCTCCATCGAGCAGCCCGTTTTCTCTGCCAATTACATCAAGGGGCAGATCCAGGCCGAGGCTGGAGGTACGTGCAGTGCTGTGCAGATTGAGCTCGTCCCAAGCATCACAGCCCATTTTTGCTGAGCACCAGACAATGGCAGAGTGGCTGTGGTGGTATAGCTGGTGTGTCCACACTGGGCTAACTCCCCTCTCCTGCACTTCTGGGCACTGCTGCCATGTTACTTCTGCCCTCAGGCCAGGGACTGACTTGCCCAGCATGAGTTCTGCGTGATTCTTTAACTCCTGTCTAGCTTTGTGTGTCATGTTTACTCACTTTCCCCATGTGCTTGTTTTTTGACCTGAAAGCATGGACTGGTGCCTTGGTCATTTACCCACCCTATTCGTACACAGAATTAGAATTAGCATCCACTTTTGGTTTTTTGGAAGTCAAGAGCCCTTTGGGTGTGGTTTGCATGGATCTGGGAGTCTGCTGTCCATCATTGATTTAGCTTTGAACCCAATTTGATCATGAAGGCGCAGTAACACTTAACAAAGGTGTTTATGACCACATGGGGAATTGCAAAAGATAAACAGGGATTG